ACCCACTGGTTCTCACTGTCCTCCCCCGTCCCCAGCAGCAACTGACACATTTCCTGTTACCATAGATTCACTTGCACTTCCTAGAGCTCCTGGGGTATCACACGCGTGGAATCACACAGACAAGCCTTCTCTGTCTGCCTGCTCTGTTTGCCTCTCTCCCACGTGCTGGCCCGTGTCGGTAGCTCATCCCACCGCAGGACACGCGGGTGTGCTCACCCTTCCCTGCTGATGAACACCGGGGGTGTTTCCAGGCCGGGCCGTTACAGCTAAAGCTGCTTGGCACACGCGTGTGCAAGTCTTCATGTGGACTGCTGCTGCCTTTCCCTCCACTCCACTACTGTTCCTCTGCATTTCTTTAACACCGGTTACAGCAAGAGCATTCCCAGATGGCTGGGAGGCCGAGTCACGGGGCCTGGAGCCATGTGCACCACGGGAGAGGGCCTGTGGCCTGGGCTCTGGTCCTGGGACGGGGCGAGGGAGAAGAGCAAGGGACACTCAGCCCTTCCCCTCCCCTCCAGCCCTCACGCCTTCCTGCTCTCGTGTGATCGGCTCCCTCGTCTGGCACGTGTCTCCACCCCTCAGATGATCACAGGGCCACGGAGGGCACACCCACCACTCCCCCGACATCCTCTCCCACGTCCCCCCCGCCCCCCGCCCATGTCAGCTCCCAGCCAAGAACGGTGCAGCCACAGGTGGTTTCCACTCTGACTCTGGGCCGGTGGGGAAACTGTAGAAGCAGAAGGACCGGGCTCATTGCAAATCTACCAGCTAGAATCTTCTTCAGGGGCCCCAGTCCGCCAACCCTTGCTGAGTGCTTCTAAGGCCTTCCCACCAACCTCAGGTCCCAGGTTGCTGGGAAGGCCCAGGCTCACCTTCCTCTCATCCCTCTCCCCCACGCTCAATGGATAATCTCACCTCTCAGCTCAACAGAAATGGAAACCACGGAGGCAGGAGCAACCTCCCCCCAACACTTACACATATTTCCTCCCATCTTATAGTACTTGTCTCTACATTGGACAAAAGGTGGCCCTCTCCCACTGAAGAAGGGTCCACGTGGGTCACAATCCAGATCATCTCCCATCTTTTCTAGACCCTTACTCTGTTGAGCATGACAGGCTTTACATTCAACTTCTCTCCCCCTCTCACGTCCATCGCTTCAGCCCCATTCCTGTCTGTGTCTTCAGCTGAACCTGACAGTCTGTGTCTGTCTCGCTCTCAAAGCTTGCCTCCCCTTCCAGCTCCCTTCTCGGGCTCCTCTGCTTCCTGGCCGGACACCCCTGTTAGAAAAGAGTTCCTTCTAACAGTCCCCATTTTCTGGCCTGCCATTCACCAACCTCTGCAGTCTGGTTCCTGTCCCCAGCCCTCCCCTGAAGCCACTTTCCTAGAGGTCATTACTGATGCCCCAGTTCCTCAATCCAGTAAACGCTCTCCAGTCTTAACCTCATGTGGCTCTTCCACAGCTGACCATCACTTCCTACTTAGCATCCCTCTTCCTCACCATCTGGGGGCCATGCCACTCTGATCCTGGGGCTACCCACCTCCACACCGGGTCTCCTCCATCTGGCCTCTCCTCCTCTGTCCTCTCCTTAAACGTGGTGCTTCCCAGAGACCCTCCCGTCTTGCCTTTCACACACTCCTGGGTGGTCCCAGCTGTGCATGATGATGCTACAGCCCAGGGCCTCTCTCTTCAGCCTCTAGCCTGTGCACCTAGCTGCCTCTAGGACAGCACTTCCTGACGGTCCCATGGGAACTTCAAATTCAGGATTTCCTTGCTAAAACCTGTACCTTCCCTTAAACCTGTTCCTCTTCACATACTCCTGATTTCTGTCAAATTCAAGTTAAAAATTCTAAGATTTAGCATTTCCCTGGTAGTCCAGTGGTTAAGAATCAGCCTGCCAGTGTAGGGGACACAAGCTTGATGCCCCAGGAAGATCCTACATGCTGAGGGGCAGCTAAGCCCAAGCCCCACAGTTACTGAAGCCCGAACTCTGGAACTGTGCTCCCCAACAAGAGAAGCCACCAGTGAGAAGCCCGTGCGACACAGCAGAGGGCAGCCCCCTCACCACAACTGGGGAAAGCCAGTGCAGACCCAGTGCAGCCAAAAACAGATGAATGCATTCTTTTTTAAGTCTGAGATTTATCTGGGGCTCTTCCCCCTCTCTCCCCTCATTCCTCAACATTCAGGAAGTAAATGGAAACTCTCAATTCTACGCCTAAAGATTCTCCCCGCCTTTAGGGAGAAAAATCTTTAATTCAAATCTCCTGGACTCTCCTGGACTCTGGTGGGGTTTCCCAGGTGGCTCAGTGGTAAAGAACCCGCCTGCCAAAGTAGGAGACCAAGAGACGTGGGCTCGATCCCCGGGTCGGGAAGATCCCCTGGAGGAGGAAACGGCAACCCACCCCAGTGTTCTTGCTTAGAAGATCCCGCGGACAGAGGAGCCTGGTGGGCTCCGAGCCACTGGGTCGCAGAGTCTGACATGACTGAGCACAGCACAGACTTCGGTGACTGCCTCCTACCTGCCTTCCACACCTCCAGTGTCTCGCATGATGCCCCACTCAGCCCCCAAACCATCACTGCTGCGACTGCCAGAGAGAGCCTTCTAGAGCACACGTCTAACTGCGTCACTGCTCTGTTAGAAACCGCATTTGGTTTTCTTTCACCGTCAGGATCGTGCTCAAACCCCATAGCCTGACATACGAGCCCCTCTGGAGAGGCCCTCTCCTACCCGTTTAGCCTTGGCTTCTGTGGCACCCCAGCTGGCCCATCCTGTCTCTCCCGAGCCCCTCAGAGTGTTCCCGACAACCTGGGCTCCAGCAGCCACAGGTGCCCTCCGACCCACAGGCCTCCACCTCAGGGCCCCTTTCATGCTAGTCTCTCTCCTCCAGAATGAGGTGAAATGTCTCCTCCTCCAGGAAGCCCTCCCTCAACTCTTCAGACCATTAGCTCTTTCTTCCTTGTATTCCTATAACATCATGCAATTACCTCTGGAATGTATCTTATTATTTCATAAGTATTTGCATTTTCTCTCTACCACCTTTAAAGAAAAACCTGTGTCTTATTGTTTTTTTAATCTCAATGCCTAACACTGCAGCAGACAAATAGTGGATATTCAATAAATGTCTATGGAATGAACAACAAAAAGAAGTTGGAAGGCAAGTAAGAAAGTGAGAAGAAAGATGGGGAAAGCCAAATTAACCACTTTATCAGAATCCCTGAGGAGCTTGTGGAAATGCAGATTCCAAGGCCCACCCCAGATCCTCTGACTAAGACAGAATCCTTGGAGGCAGGGCTTGGGAACTGGCCTTTTAAACCAATTTCCTTGGGTGATTCTTATGGATTCTAAAGTCTCAAAGCACTGACCAAAGGGACTCTTGTTTTAATATTGGAGAAGTTCTGTTATTTCAGAATCTGACCCAGGGTCAAGAACTTTAGTGGAGTTAATGTCTAAGATAGCATAATTATAACATCAACTTTGATCACAGTAATAACACAGAAGAAAAGCCTATAGCAAACGTGGAAACAGTAACACCAACAAGAAAACCACTGGCTGCCTGCACTCCTGCACAGGCACTTTGGAACACAGGGAAGGCAACGCACTCTGGGCTTGGTGGGAGCTCTGATTAACAAGTGGTTTCATCTCAGCCAAGTACTCTCCGTCTCTGCAAAGCTCACCTCCCATCTGAAACAGGAGGGAGTTGCACCCAAGCTTCCTTTCAGCTCTAATGTTCTCTGAGCAGCTATCTTGAGAAAGTGAAAACCCATCATGGGTGGGTAACAGTTCAAATGCTGTGCCTCTAGGCTTGCTATATTATCAGGAGATTTCTATCCTGGCAAAAGATACCTGTAGTAGAAGCAGGCCAAAACAGCGTCAGCAGAGTCACTCTGTTATAATGAGATTATGCCAGAGCCATTTTGGTTGATGAAATTAATATAACAGTGCTAATATATTACTGAGAGCAGCAGAGCCTCCCTCTCTAAAGAATGCCAGGTGTATTGTGGGCACCTTCTTCCCCTTGACCACAGCCCTGTAAAGGTGCAGGAGGGGAGGGGCTGCCATCTGGGGAGCCCTGAGTCCCGGGGTGAGGGAAAGCGGGACTGGAGGAGGGGGCTCCTGGGATGTTGTCACTTAGCCCACGTCTTCCGGTAGGAAAGGTGGGGGGGCGGGGCACAAGGAAGAAAGGACCCTCTGCAGGCCCTGTCAGTGACCAGGGCTGGAAGGGAAGACCTGCGCGCTAGGCACCAGGTCCAGCATTCTCCTCGGGGACCCGTTCTGCCGGGGAAAGGGCAAAGCCAGCACCTGGCCTGCCTCTCTGGGGCGGGGAGTGCTCAACCTCTGCTGGACCTTGACCCACTGGGGAAAAGGCGGGAGCCACATTCAAACAGGCACAGTGATAAACTTATTAGTCATGAGGGTTGTTCAGACACCGCTCCCCCCACCCAGCCTCTCCGGCTGGTCCCCAGCCCTGCTGCCTTTCAAGTTGGACAACTTGGAAAGGAAAGAGAGAGAGGGAGAGAAAATGACAGAGGCTCACATACTTGATGAAGAAGACTCTCCCACCGCGGTCAACTCCGTAGGTCCACCGGCCGGGCAAGTCCAGCCAGTCAATCTCATCGGCCATCTCGGAGTCCCGCAGCCCCTCCGGCTCTCTGCGCACCGGGGCGCCGGGCCGGGGGGCAGGCGGGGGGCCTATGGCGAGCCCCCCCACTCCTGCTCCTCCTCGAGGCGGCGACGGGGGCGGGGGTCCAGGCGGTCCTCCGGCTCCCTGGCTCGGGGCTCCGGCCTCTCGCTGGAGGCAGTTGGCCGCCAGCCGGGCGGCAGCGAGCGGAAGACTTAACCCCGGCGGGGCCGAGCGAGCCCGGCCGCAGACGCGCGCCGCCCGCGGAGTCGGCGCTCGGCTCCCGCCGTCTCCTTAACTTAATGACGGGCAATTAGCTCCGAGGGGCTCGGCCAGCCCCGCGCCGCCCAGAGGGCCGCTCCCGGCCGGCGGGGTCTGCCGCGGCCCGCGGACCCCCGAGTCCTGACTCCTGGCGCGGGGGCCACCCGTTTGGCGGACAGAGCTGGGAATCCCGAACCGCAGGGACACGTCTAGCCTCTGACTCGAAAGGGGGAAGTGATCAGACCTGGTTCTGCTCGGCGGGAGGTTAGCAGAGGAACAAAGGTCAGATGCTGGGAAGGCTGGCAAGGCTGTGAGTAGCAAGGGGCCCCTTCTGGCTAGAATGTCAACCTCATGAGTCAAGCTAGTCCTTACTTACCTGTTTTTCTGAGCACTTCCTCTAAGAAGCCTGCCATGACTAAGGAAGAATCAGAGTGAGCCCTTCAGATGCACTCAGAAAGCAACAGCTTTTACATACCTCATTTGTGCAGAAAAGGGAAGGAAAGGGAAAAAAAAAAAAGAAGAAGAAAGAAAGGAGGGAATGTGTTCCCTGTACGGAACATAGATTGCAGGCATTCAGTACTAGCATATCAAAATGGTATTGCTGGAGCCCACAGTTCTGTGGTCCGTGGGGTCGCAAAGAGTCGGACACGGCTGAGCGACTGAACTGACAGTTCTGCTGTCTCTGGTCTGCATCAAAGTTGAACTCCAATCAGCTTTCCCAGCTTACACAGGACCTGCCCCTGAGGCTCCCATTAGGTAAACACTGTCCTAATCCATGTGTCAGACCCAAGGGAATAATTAGATACCTCTCTTTAGAGGAAGCAATGTGTCGCTTGGCAGTTGGCAAGTATCTGTTGAATGAGTAAGCTTATTGTAAGCATTCTAAGGGACATGATGCCTGTTCTACCCAGGTGATTCCGACTCATCCCTTTGGTATCAACCCGTGTGTTGCCTACTCCAGAAAGCCATTCTTGATTCCACTTCAGGCAGATTTTTATGTCTATCCTCTATGTGTCATGTAACTTTATTAATAACCCTGTAGTGGAGCTTATCTGGAGAACGAAATGGCAACCCACTCCAGTATTCTTGCCTGGAGAATTCCACGGATAGAGGAGCCTGGCAGGTTACAGTCCATTGGGTCACAAAGAGCCAGACCTGACTAAGCATACATACAGTGGAGCTTACCACCCTGCAATGCAATCCTTGGTTTACTTATCTGTCTCCTTCAGTGGTCTGTGTGCCCCTCAGAGCAGGGGCTCCATTTGATTCATTTTTATAGCCCCAGCACCTACCTAGGACACACAATTTATATTTGATGAATGACTGATACTATCCTAACTAGAAATGGCTCATAACTATAACCGCAATCCTGTACTTTTGGACCCTATTTAGGGGCCAGATAAATATAACCACCAGCAACATCCGGGTGTGTGTGGGGAGAGCTTTCTGGAAAAAAGAACAACCAGTAAGCCTTCTCAGGAATCCTAAAGGCTGAACCTAGGTATAATGTGTGTACATTTGATAGATACTGAAGACACAAGATTCCTCAAAGACCATCTCATCGCAGCCTCTTGACTTAAACGTAGGAAACAGAAGAGCAAAGAAGTGAAGGGAGAATTCACATCACTGAGCAAGGCTCTGCCCAGTGTCCAGGCCAGAACTCTTTCCATTACATGATTCTGCCTCCAACACTGGAAATCCACTCTGCCAACATACAGGCTCATTCTTGGTGCTAGTTTGGGTCCATTGTCCAGATGCAAAAAGGAGCAAGAACCCATAATACCCAACTCTTTTCTCCCTTTTCAGATCCTACATGTTTTTAGTAAAGAAAGCTGCATTTGACAGTAAAGGAGAGCTGCATCTGAGAATCACAGGTGAGGAGGCACGCCCCTTTGTAGTTCCTGAATTGAGGGGTCTGGGAGAGTCAAGTGGCAGACTCCTCACCGGTCCCCTATCCCCAACCTTGTGAAACACCTGTTAAGGCCCATCCCGCTGATAAAGCCCAGAGCCACCTGCCCACCCCTATGATATCAGAGGATCTGAACCACCAGGACTGCTGCCAAGATGCCTTCAGGGAAAATACCAGCAAGCATTGCACTCCCTGTCCAACCTGAGCAACCAGTAAGTGCAGCTTCTTGAGCTGAAGGTGGGTGGAAATATGGAACTGTATGACATATTTTTGAAAACATGTATTACACCACTGTCTTCTTGGAGGAGCAGGGGCTCCTGAGGATTTCATCAAAAGATTTTTGTCTTGTTTATCTCTAATCTAGCCTGGGGTTCCTTGGGACATTAACCTAGACCAAAAAAAAAAAGAGCAAGTGGTTGAGATTTTGAATGTTTTTTACTCGTTTGGAATAAGAAATCAGGTTTGAAAATACTTTCTAACTGTGGTGTATTCTCGCCAGTGACTCTTTACATTCCAGTTCTTGTTTATTAATTATGATCAGGGTTGATACTGCTAAGCAAAGAAACTTTCTTTAGCAAAGAAACTAAAGACAATTCAGAAAGAGTAGAAAACTCAAATAAAAATAGGTATTGGTTCAACAATTACCTGGAAGAAGGCAGGAGAGTGATATGTTGAAATGAAAACCTTACCTGCTTTGCAATTAAGTCAGAAATTTAGTTGTTTGTTTTTTCCTTACAGCAAATTTTATCTCTTTAAAAGCAACAAAGCATGTGGATAAAATATATCAGTAATATTTAGAAGTGATTCTGATTCTCTCATATATTTTGAGAGCTTAAGTCAGTCACTTGAATGTTATCCTGCTTCTGGCTTGGTCCAGAGCTGAAAAACAGCTCCCCAGAACCTGTCCATATCAATCCCTGGAGCCCATGAATGTGACCTTACTTGGATGCAATTAAGATAAGGATCTGGAGATAAGAAGATTATCCCAGATTATTCGGGGTGGGCCCTAAATTCAGTGACACCTGTCCTTATAGGAGAAAAGCAGGGGGAGACCTGAGACAGACAGAAAGCAGGAAGCAGTGTGACCACAGAGGCAGAGGCGGAAGTGAAGCCACCACAGAGCAAGGGATGGTGACAGTCACCACAACCTGGAAGAGGGAAAGAAGGACTTCTCCCCCAGAGCCTGCAGAGGGGGTGTGGCCCTCACACTTCAACTGCAGTCTTCTGGAATCCAGAACTGTGAGAAAATGAATTCTTTTTGTTTTAAGCCAGCTAATTTGAGGTAATTTGTTATAGCATCTTGGTAAATTCACACAGTACCTATAAGAAAATCATAAGTTATCGAGGACTGAGATAAATGTCTGTTATTTTTACTTGTCCAATATCCAACCTCCTATCTTCTGTTAATAGCCCCTGGAGCTTCCTTTTGACATCTAGCTTTTTGCCACTGTCAGTCCATATGGGTTGGATGGGCTGCCCCCACACTCACGCCAGCTCCATTGGTTCAGGAAAGGACACATGACTCAGGCCAGACCAGTGAGATTCAGTTTTAAGAAGATCCTAGAGTTCCTGGGAAGAAGCCCTTTCTCTCTTGATTCCAAGTGGGCAGGTGTCACTTTGGTGCTGCTGGGGTCTTTATGAGGGGGAAGCTTGCTGAGAGCAAAATGGGTCCAGCAGAAAGTGGAATCAGAGGGTGCAGACACACTGTGTCCTTGTATCCTAGAGCCCCAGGACCAGCTTACCAGAAGAGGCTCTATCTCCGGAATTTCAACTTGTAGATGCCAAGAAACACCCTTATTTGCTTCAGTCAGTTTCTGTCCCTAACAAGTGAAAAAATCCTACCCAGGACAAAGGTCAAAGTGTCTTGTAGCCATGTTGCTTTGTTGTAACCAATGTTTCTTTGAGAAAGTCAATGAGATAACCACCTGCACTTCTAGTGACTTGAGAATGTGAACTCTTCCAATAAAACTGCAATTTTAGATCAAGGAAAGGTCATTTGTGACCATCTGGCCAAAGTCTATAATTTCCCTCTAAAGGGTACTAGAGAACTCAGGAGAAGTACCCAGAGTTGTGGTAATTCCTCAGGAGAGTTGGGACCACAACTCTGGTCTCCTGAGAACCCAATCAGTAGAAAGCTATATTTAAAGGCATTTGCCTTATCATTTAAATATATTTGACCAAGAGACTCACAGTTAAGATGATTATAACTGATTCCTCTGCTCTGCTAAAGAATAACCACAACAGTAATTTTTGTTGAGTGCTGGTATTTAATAGCTATGCAGCAGGCTAGGTCACTAGCTACTGTTAATTATTTTACAGGAACTAGGAAGCAAAGGAAAAGAAATCAACGGCCTCTCTGCTGGGATTATAAATAGAAATACGATTATGTAAACATGTAAGAGCACAAACTGGTTGCTTGATAGAAGTTATGATTTGATAAAGGTTTTAGAGAGGTGGGGATTTTTAGTATTTATTTATTTTGTCTGTTCGTTTGCCTGTGTCAGATCTCAGACTGCGTGGCTCTCAGCGACTGTAGTATGCAGGCCAGTAGCTGTAGCATGCAGACCTGTGGGCCCTGCCACTCCCCAGCACATGGAATTCATGTTCCCCAACCAGGGATCACACCCTTGTCCCCAGCATTGTGAGGCAGATTCTTAACTACTAGGCCACCAGGGAGATCTTGAGAGTGGCACGTTTTGTTATAAAAACTGTTGAACTGATGCTGGTAACCAGAGGATTGTGGAATCCTGAAATTTCTCTACAGCCAGTTGAAATGAATTACATTTGTTCTACAGATATTTGCTGAGTATGTTCTGTGACCCCAATATTCTAGGTACAAAGGATCCAAGAATGAATAAAACAGACAGTCCTTGCTCACATAGAGTTTACATTTAATGAATACATAGTCTTGGAGGACAGTGAGTCTATGGGGAAAAATGGAAAGAGTAAAGGATAGGAGTGTAGTGGATGCTGCTGTCTTATATTCCACAGATTTCATATAGGCTTGGCGGCAAAGACCTCATTAAGCAAAAGGACATTTGAACAAAGACTTGAAGGAAGTGAGAGAACAAACCATGTGACACTGGGGAAGCATGTTCCAAGTAGAGGAGACAATAAGTGCAAAGGCCCCGAGGCAGGAATAGCCTTGGAATGTTTGTGAAATAATGAAGCCAGCATGGCTGAAGTGGAATAAATGTGGCAAAGGAGATGAGGACCAGTGGGGTGGGGACCAGTGGGAGAAGCTAGATCATTCCAGGATACGGGAAGATCAGCTGTTATTCTACATGAGATGGGGAACTACTGGAGGTTTGAGTGTCAGAGACATGATCATTATGATTTAATGACTCTCTTAGAGGATCATTCTAGCTGCTATTTGAAATAGAGAAGAAACAGATTCCAGTTATGAGGCTACTGCAATAATCCAAGCGAGACACAATGATGGTTTAGTTCATTATGTTGGTGGATAGAAGCAGTGAGTAACCATCAGATTCTGGGTATCTTTTAAAGGTAGAACTGCTAGAAATTGCTTATAGATTGTAATTGGACTGTGAGAGAACGAGAATGCAAGCATGATTTGCCCTTTCCTTTTCTTTGTGAGTGATGAGAATGCTCTCAAGGCTCACTTCCAAGGGTTCCTGCTACCTGACTACGAGGGATTTGGCCTGAGCACCAGAAAGGACAGAGTTGCCACTGCCTGGGATGGGAGTTGGCTGCAGAAAGAGCAGGCATGGCAGGGAGAGTGGGGAAACCACTTCAGCTCTGAGCGTGTCATGCTGGAGATGCCTATGAGATACCCAGGCAGAGATGCCAAGGAGATGACAGCGTGTATGAGATTAGCGTCTGTGCCAGGAGTAGAGAGATTTGGTATTTTTCAGTGGTTAGATGGTATCGGTACCATGAAGCAAGTTGAGATCACAATGAAAATGTGTGTGAGTAGGGAGGAGGCTGCTTTTTAGAGGTCGTGTTAATGAGAAGGAACCTGAACAAAAGACTCAATCACAGTGGCTAATGAAGTAGGAGGCGAACAAGAGAGAACCGTGTCCTGAAAGTGAGCCTCAAGTGCGTTCACGTCACTCACGAGGAGGAGTGTGCAAACGGCGCCTGTGTTCCAGAAGGGCTGAGGTTAGGCTGGGTTCTGTCTGAGCAGGAAGAGACTTGTACTCCTGGGTGAGAGCGTGGAGACCGCTCAGGTTATTTTGTGGTTGGTCTGAGAAGAGCTCTGGAAAATGATCGTTTTAGCTAATGAGCCCTTGCTCACCATGGAGAGGAGCACCTGAAACGTGCTTCCTTCAGGCTGCATCTCTCAGTCCCTGTGCTGGCTTCTCCTGGGAAGGAGGCCAGCCCGAGATGGCTGTCTGACTTCTCCTCCAGGACTGTGTCCTGGCGCAGAGACCGGGCGCTGGCAGCTCCCCAGAGCTGGGGCGTGGAGGGGCGGGTGGGCCTGGGCTAAGGGAATGAAACAGTCTATCATCACAGGCAGATACGGGCAGGAGGGGCCTGGAGTTACTGCCTCCATTTCCTCTCTGGGTCTCTTTTTGAATCTACGGCTTAGGCAATGCTCTTCCTGCACTGACTTTAAAGTCTGATCTGGGGTTTTTCTAGAAAATGGCAGCTAGTGCTGACTTTGGCGTTTCCTAGAACTATCACAGCACTTTGGTTCAGTTTAGTTCAATAAACGTACAAGGCACCATTATGCCTGTATCTCTGAAACCATTCCAGCCTTCAATCAACCAGTTCCTTCTTCTGTCTCTGCCTGCTGGTCAGGCTTCTATGCTGGTTTCTGGCTCACCATCATCCTCTCCATTACTGTCTCCCTTTCACTTTGGGGAATTTCAGTGCTGATGTGAAGAAACTACTCAAATCCCTAACCTCGCAACACCTTAATCTCTGCAGTTCCAGGCACATTCACCTCCACTCCAGTAAGGTACTCACAACCAAGGCCATTCCTTAGACTTTCTCACGACTCGGATTTACTCCTATCTGGAAGACAAAACCTCTAATATCCCACATTCTAACCACAGTTTCGGTTCTTTTACTGCCCTCTTTACTTTCTTCCTTTTACACAGGTTCCCTTGCCTTCCTACAGTACCTTTGTGCTCAGTCGCTTCAGTCGTGTCTGACTCTTTGCAACCTTTAGCCTCTTGACTTTCCTCCTAATCTACCGCTTGTTTTGCTTCCTGCACCGCTCTACCCAAACTCTTGGCCTGTGACTTTATCCCTGCACTAACCAAGATTCTCGTCCATGTGTCCTCAGCTGTTACGCTACTGCAAACTCCACTTGGAATTCAACTGCCCACCTTTTCTGCTCCAATGCCCAGAAAAACTTCATACCAAGCCATTGTAGGAATTAAATAAATCGATCCCTCTATCATTCACTCTCCAGTCTTCCACAGGCCTCTTTCTGTGTCTGTAGTCACTCTCAGCAGCAGACCATCATTATACCAAGAGAAAATAAAGGCCGTAAGGAAGGCACCGCCTTAACCTAGAATGCCTTCACCGCAGTCTCCCTATGCCTACTGTTACAACATTGTCTATATTTTCTGTCTCTCTTTCCTCCTATCCACAGTTACATCTTCATGTTCTCATTCTTACTGGTTCCTCACCAGGCTCCTCTGTCCATGGGATTCTCCAGGCAAGAATACTGGAGTAGGTTGCCATTTCCTCCCCAGGGGATCTTCCTGACCCAGCAATTGAACCCTTGTCCCTTATGTCTCCTGCATTAGCAGGCAGGTTCTTTACCACTAGTGGCCCCTGGGGAGCCCTTCTGAAATCTTACTCAAATCAACGATCTCTTCTTCCCTATATTTTCAAGCTTCCCCTTCTTCCAGTTCTTTCCCTAAAGCCTATAATGAAGTTAAACAATTCTGCCTTAAAAAAAAAAAAAGCCCCACGCCAACCCCCCACCCCAATTATCTTATTACCACTTTCTCCTTCCTTTCACTTCAAGTTTCTTAAAGGATTGCCCTATGTCCTCGGCGTGTCTAATCACTTATTTCCAGTTATTCACTATCTGGTTTCTGTTCCCTCAGCTCCTTGAAAATGGTTAGAATTCTTCTGACAAAAATAAACATTTATTTCCAGGTTGCCAAATCCAGCAGACCATCTTCTGTCTCACCTTAGGTGACCCTCCTGATGACAGTTCTGCCCTCTCTCCTCCCTGCAATGGGTGCCCCATTTCTTTCACCCTCTACACCCTAGCCATCCTGAAAACCCTACAGTTGATTATTCTTTGTGCCTGTGGCCCTCTTGGCCTGAAGAATCCTTTTCTCTTTTCTTCTTCAGTTCTCCTTGAAATCACAGCCCAGGAAGAAGCCCTCCTCCCTGGCCGCATGCCCCATGTCTGTCGCTGTTACAGGACTCACTGTGTATGAGAGCTCACTTTCCTATTTCCCTGGACTGAAACTCCTTGGGAACAGGAACTCTCTTTTAAATCTACTTGTTTGTCCAGGATTTGACACAGTTGGCCACCACAACCTGCCTGGAGCTTTTTTTCCCCCAGGCCTTCATGACACCACATCCCCCTGGTTTATCTCCCACTTCACTGGCTATTGCTTCTCAAACTCTTGGGTTACAACTTCTCTGTTTAACCTCAAAATGTTGGAGTATTCCAACTCCACCAAACTCCGCTCTGGTCTGCTTCTGTACACTCTCTGCATACTCTCTGCCTACTCTCCCTAGGCAAACCCCACTACCATTTTATTTTTTTTAATGTTTAGTTATTTACTGGTGCTGCAACTGGTCTTAGTTGCCGCACGTGGGGTCTTTCATTGTGGTGTGCAGGCTTAGCTGCCTGCAGCGTGTGTGATCCTAGTTCCCTGACCTCCCAACTAGGTGTCAAACCCATGTCCCCTGCATTTCCAGGCAGATTCTTAATCCCTGAACCACCAGGCAAGTCCTTCCTCCATTGTTTTAAATATCATCCACATGCTGCCGGTTCCCAAGTTTCTGTTTGAGTCTGACCTCTCCCCTGGGCTTCAGATGCACA